GTATTTCTCAGACCAAATAATCGATTTAGATAACATTGGGTCCAAAGGAAACTCAGCCATTCTCCGGCCTAATTTTGTCAGTTCACCACTATCATTCAGTGCGCCTAGACCATATAGATCATTCAGAGCTTGAATCAATGACTGGTCATTCGGTGCATCCATAAATTCAAACTGCATAACATTATGAATTCCGATACTCTGCAATGAAAATGAAATTAAATATTATTAAAAAAAAACAATTAAACGATTTAATATATAAATTCACTAACCTTTAATAATAAAACTACATTTCCTAAATTTGTTCTTTGAATTTCGGGAACACTATTTTCTTCCATTTCATTCGCATAAGCATATTGTGTATATAAACGGAAGCAGAAACCATTTCCTACACGACCAGCTCTACCCATCCTTTGATTTGCTGATGCTCTTGAGCACTATTAAAAAAACTTAGTTATAATTAAAGATGAAAGAATTTTAAGCGCATCAGTCTCAAAATGTCATTTTTAGATTCGTGTAATTTACCGGAACAACTACCAAAGACTCCATGCGAGTTCTAGGGCTATATACATTTTGTTTAACAAAACCAGGATCAATTACGTATTTGATACCATTAATTGTAATTGAAGTTTCGGCAATGTTAGTTGCTAAAATAACCTAGGAAACAAAAGCAAAGTTAAAATCCATAAATCTTTAAAAGGTATAGCTAGCAAAATGTTATAGAAATAGATACCTTGCGAGCGCCTGCTGGAGTGGGTTCAAAAATTTTAGATTGCATATCTGGTGGCAAATTGGCATAAATCGGGCAAATTATAAGTTCTTTTATCTTGCTACCGAGAACTCTGCAAGTCTGAGATAGAGTTTCTTGCACACTTTCAATCTCGTCTTGTCCCTTAGTTTTATGTTGCATTTACCGTATTAACAAATATATAAATAGAGCTCATATATCAACATTATATAACAAGGTTCTTACCGTAAGAAAGACTAAAATATCTCCATCTTGCATAGCTATATGAAGCTGCATCACTGTGGATATTACAGCAGTTATATAATTTGCCTCGGGGGCTTTTGCATATAACGTTTCAACGTGAAAAGGCCGGCCCGGGACTAATAAAAGCAAGTGACGGGTTTAATAAGAAGTTATTGAAAGTTATCGATAATCCATACTTACTATTATATATAGGTGCATCATCAAAATATTTTGAGAATTTTTGAGCATCCATCGTCGCACTTGATATTAATAATTTCAATTCTGGTCGAACTCGACAAATATCCTAAAAACAGTAATTAAGATGATATAATAATGAATAACCGAGATTTTATATAAATATTTCGTAAATCTCGGACAATAAACATAGGTTATACCTTAATTAAACCGAAAAGTATGTCGGTGTGTAAAGTTCTTTCATGAGCCTCATCGATTATTAAACAGCTGTAATCTTCTAAAAGAGGCTCGGTTAAAAATTCACGTAAAAGCATACCATCAGTCATATATTTTATGATGGTTTTATCAGAGGTACAATCCTCGAAACGAATTGCATATCCGACCTATTAAAAAAAAGAGGCTAATGTATCATCAATAAAAAATATATTATTCAAGGTTTATCTTTTACCTGATACCCTAATTTTACGCCCATTTCTGTGGCTACGCGAGCAGCTACACTCATCGCTGCAACTCTTCTGGGTTGAGTGCATCCAATTTTCTTTCCTCCTTTAGTGTAACCAGCTTCATGAAGATATTGTGGAATTTGAGTAGTCTTCCCAGAACCTGTTTCGCCAACAATAATAATAGTCTGATATTCATCGATAGCTTTGAGCAAATCATCTCGAAACATGTATATTGGCAGAGATTTTCGTGCTTCTTCTATCGACTTTGCTGAATTTTTAAGATCAAATTAGGAAATTTTTCGAGGATCTATATTAGAATTCCAAAGAAAACTATAATTTACCTTCTTGTTCAGCTGCATCAATTTTCTTTGTAATTTCATCATTTTTTTCACTCCAATCCCAATTTAGAAACTCCATTTGTTGGGATTCATCAAAAACATAGTCATATTCATGTTCTTCCTTTAACCGATCTTGTGCACCAGTTTTTAACTGAGATTTGATAATTTGATTTTGTTCCCATTGATCTTGATCAGTAACAAATTTGTGTTGATCTCTATCTTCCTCATAACGTTGATATAATACAGCTTCCTTTTTTTTTTTATCAATCTTTCCTTGTTCAGTTATGTAATCTAATCGAGGAAATTTTCCGAATGAGATCAAAGTGAGAAAATGAGTTTATATCTAATATAAATAACCAGATTAAGTTATCAATTGATTGATATTAAATTTACCTTCAGGCAAAGTATATTCTTCGCTTTTTTTTGAAAGACTTAGTCGTCCTTTTGTCAACTGTAAAGTGTCCCTTTTCAATTGATATTCTTTCTTTTCTTTTTCTGTTAGCTTTATGTCCTTGAAAAGTGTCTCTTCATCATGAAGCTCTGCCTCCATCAATAACATTCGCTGTTCCGCACGAGCCTTGAGATAATCTTGACGAGAGCGTTCACGAATATCAGGTATATACTGTTTACGCGCTTCTGGATCATCTGCAAGATTTCGACGGAGGGCAGATTCACTTTGAGATTTCGAGGAACGATCTTCCACTAGCTTCGGATTTTAAAAATATGTGTTAAAAGGATTGAATCAAATTTTGAATTGGATTAAACAAAAAACATACCTTTTTCGTTTTTGCTTTATCTTTTTCTCTTACACGTTTCGCAAACTCATCTCTTTCTTTGAGATCTTGCATTTTCTCTCGCTGGGCTTTCTCGTATTCATCTTCAGGGTCTATTGATGAATTAACAATAAAGAATGAGATTGTAAAAGTGTACCAGGTTGTATAAAATCAATAATTAAATTACACACCCGGTGAATCTTCCGCCGATTCTTCACGAGATTTTTGTTTATGCACAATCTGTTCATCCTCCGAATTAGATTCCCATGCATTAGAGGATTCTTTTTTACGGATACGTTTTCCTTTTTTGGATTTCTTTGACTTTTTAGATTGTCCATCATCTTTATGCTTTTCATAATCCTCGTCTTCATCTAACAACAATTTATATTTAACTTGGCTTTCTAAGGAAGCTTTAGATTCCTGGTCCTGTCTTTTACGTTTTAATGAGGTGACCTTAAAAAAAGAAGGAACAAATCATGTGAGTTTGTTTATGAAGAAATGAAATAGGAGCAAAAAATGGTGTAAATCTCAGAGACCTAGCGTACATTGGATTGCGATGATTTCCTTGGTATGCGTTCATAGAGCTCATCAATGAAGTGTGAAGATTCTGGAGGAAATTCATTTAAAATTTCCCGGAGAGATTCTTTAGATTTGGCGGACTGAGCTGTATAAAATGCCAAATAATTAGAATAAGAATGTTGTGTCCAGCATAAAGTATTTTTTAAAGTAACCCACCTTGCGCAATTATGTAGTCTACCATGTTACGCTCTGACATGTTCAGATACTAAAGCAGAATAAGAATTAACGAGAATACTTTCATCACACTATTGCAATGAAGTATATAAATTACAAACCTTGATCGTATTGTCTGAAACCCAGGAACGAAGATCCATGTTTTCAAAAAGTGCTGATCTCACTCAGAAAAAAAATCGTAGTTTTTTAATTTACAAATAAAAAGGAGAAATTTTGTACGCGCGTTAAGATAGGCAGATAGTCATCTTTTACGTATTACATGTATTATTACGTAAGCGATTTCGTCAGGCCAAAAAAAATTATAAATAAGATCACGCAACTGCAATTTCAATCTTAGAAAAATGTCTAGTTGGTCGAAAAGGTTACCCGCTGTTACTTCAATGTTGGAAGGTGATAAACTTATTCTTCCACCAATAGTACTTGAAGAACTTCTTGAAAAATTTAGTCAAACCCCACCAGTGGTTGCAGAAAACGAGGAAGAGATTCCTTCAACTTCACAATTACCTAGTCCACTCACATTTCAAATATTAAATCCAAGGACAAGAATAATAACTCACGGAGGTGTGTTAGAATTTAATTCGCCCGATGAGAAAGCTTGTTTACCTCAATGGATGTACGAATCGTTATCACTTTCAGAAGGGGACGAAATAATTATACGGCTTAAGGAATTACCCAAAGGAACTTGGGCACGTTTCCGACCTCTAAGCTTAGAATATAAGGAAATTAAAGATTACAGGTAAATGAGACAATCACAGGTAAATGAGTCAAAGACATCAAGTTATAAAGAGCCGAGTTTTTTATTAATATTTTCATCATTATATATAGAGCAGCATTTGAAGACTATCTGCGTTCACATTATGTAACACTTACAGCTGGTGAAGTTCTTAGCTTAAGACAAGCCGATTCTATTTATAAATTTTTAGTGGATTCCTTGCAACCCGAAAACGCCGTAAGAATAATTGATACGGACTTGGAAGTCGAAATAGTTCCATTTTTAGCAAATGGTAGTGTCTCAGTATCTAATAAAAGACATCAACGAAAAGAAGATAAAGAAAATGAAATCTCTGTCGGTCAAATTGTTAAAGGCGCTGTATTAAAAGATGAATATACCTATTGGAATTTGAAATCAATTGACCGATCACATGGTTTAAATATACATTTAAAGATATTAGACAGAGGAGATGTAGGTAAGTCTCTAATTCACATAATAAAGTAATGATATAAATTCATATTATCTGTAATTTTTTTAATTCTCAACAATAAAAATGTTACCTCACAGATCTTGTGATCTCTACGGAAAGTAAACCTACAATAGAAGATCATATTTGGTCGGACTTTTCATTTTCATCAGAAAGATCTATTTATATTTCGCCAACAAATTCTGCGTATGCTACTAGCGAAGAATTTTGCATTGGAGTTTATGGCCATAGTGAATCGCAAACAAATTATGAATTACTCATTACCAATAACGATCTCCCTATACCTACTGTAACTTCAAAAGAACTTGACGATGAGAACGCAAATAAAGTAGGATATGCGCATTGTAAAAATTGTGGAAGATGGGTTCCTGAAAGAACAATAGTTTTACATTCAAATTATTGTGAGCGTAATAACATAAAATGCAAATTATGTGGGAAAATTATGAGACGAGACGAAGAAGTTTTTCATTGGCATTGTGAGCTTTGCGATCAGGTAGAATTATCATAAAGATTCATTGATTATTAATTCTATATTCCTTATTGACCGATAATTATTATTATTATTTTTTTTTCAAAGCCTGGTGATTCACCTGAAGAAAAAATCAAACATCAAGAAATATATCATAAAAGACGAGAATGTTCATGCGGATATTTTACAGACTCATTACCATCATTGGCCGCTCATAAGCAATCGGACTGTCCAAATAAACTTATCACATGCAGATTTTGTCATAATCTGGTTAAAAAAGGTGAAATCCCGACAAATTCCAGAGACTTGCTTGAGGGATTAACAGGACATGAATCATATTGTGGAAATCGAACAATTGATTGTGTTAAATGCAATCAGTCAGTCAGTATAAGAAATGTTCCGATGCATGCTAAAATGCATGAGATAGAAAAACAAAGCCGTAAATTACCACCTCTATGCCGAAATGTCAATTGCATAAGAACAGCGGAGAACAATACATTAAAATTATGCTCAATTTGTTTCGGTCCTTTTTGGTCTCCCGCTAATGATCCAATGAATCGAAAGTTACTTACGAGATTAGCTCGAAAATATCATCATCAATTAACAACTGGGTGTGGAAATGCCTGGTGTAAAAATAAGGTAAGTTCTTAGTGATCTAACAAACAATTCGTCGTAATTTATAAGATATAATTAATAAATGGTATTCTATATATAGTATTGTGCCAGTGGCACATCGAAATCATTAGATCCTAATGCTGCTGCTTCGAAATTGGTTCCACTTCTTCAAGAATCACAATCCGCAACATCGCCCGCAATTTATTTATGTGTAGACCAGATAGTTACACGAAAACGTATCCTTGCTGACATCCTTTATAATGGACAAGATGGAGGGGGAATACCAGGGGAATATGGCATGGAGTTCTGTGTAGAGGCAATCGAAATGTCAAACGAGGATTTAGTGGAAGCACGAAAATATTTACAAGTAAATATTTTTAATTGAATATCTTTATATTATTGACTATCTATCTATATATCTAGACTAATCATCTAATCATCTATAATTATGTAATTACAGGCAAATGCTCCAAGAATATAGATTTTTTGTATAAGATTATATATAGACTAGAGATCTAATGAATAGAATACAAAGACTTGAAATTGTAATCTATAAATGTATTTTATTAATCTTAATAGCAAATTGTATTATTTAGCGCTGATTTTGAACTATATACCAGCCAGCAGATTTAATAAAAAGTCTACACGATAAATTATATTATTTATGCACAAGCTACAAATATTTATAATTTTAATGATTACCATGAAAGAAGTTATGATATGTATCTCTGGTTTTTATGGGAATACGACTTAAGATACCAATGAATTCAATCGTCTTGTCGTATATATGGAAGTATATGACTACTAAAGGATGATTTTGGTGCACCGTAAAATTATGGCATCTAACGTAGGAATTAAATAACTTGCATTACGCAATCTTTTTTAGCTTTTAAGGAACAAAAACATAAGGAAGAATATATCAGAGGAATTGTTCAAATCAGTTAAATTATTAAGTTCAAAGAATTTTGTGGAGAGTTAATCGTGAAAATTTATCAAACTTAATGATTATGTTTGTGGAAACGATTCTCGCCAAATTCAAGTGCTGCTTCTCTTTTTTACTATTCAAATTTATCGAAGTATCTTAATGTCTTCGCGTGTACCGCCTCAAGTACGTATAGCAAATTAATTATTGTCCCCCTGGAACCATTTAAAAAAAAATGGACAGATTTTACATTTTAGGCATTAGAATAAAATAGTTTTGGGTTTTTTATTGACAAAAAAGTTAAATGAGATCATGTCGTACAAAAATACTGTTGCCTTTATCGAATTTAGTAAGCAATTATTTGTTGACATTAATATACAAAATGGAAAGTATACTTGAACAACAACGCAAAGCACATGAAGAAATTGAAAGACTGGAGCAAGCGATCGTCGATCAGTTTATGAAAGATCCTAAATCAGTATGTTTAAAGTACTTTTTATTTTAAAGGCTCATTCATTAAACTTTACCAATTTTTTTTGTTATATATCAGCATAAAGAGCGCCTCACTCGAGAACATCGAGTCAGTGATTTTTTAGACAGGATAAGTTCACGAAGTAAATTTTTATATGAGTTATACGAAGATTCAGACGGGTATGTTGACCATATCAAATTAGAATTTGCTTTTCAAGTTTATTAATTTCTGAAAAATGTCTTTTAGTGCAAGAAAAAATGAAATTGACGCGCTATCTGGAACTTCGGAATTTAGCGAATTCTATGGTCGCTTAAAAGCTATCAAAGATTATCATCGTCGATATCCCAACGAGACGGTTGAACCATTAGAATTAGAATTTATCAATCAAGCAAAGGAAAATGGAGAAGATGGTACAATATTTCTGGTTTTCTTTTTTTTTTTTTTTTAGTTATTATGAAGGTTTCTCATTCTTCTTTTTAGATCTCGATAAATTGTTTTCTGGAGAGGAAGGAAGCGGTCGATTTTTAGATTTGCACGCACTTCATGAGCAATATGTGAATTTAAAGAATATTAAAAAATTAGAATATCTTACATATTTAGGAGAATTTGATCATTTCTCAGATTATTCTAAAGAAAACAAACATGGGGAATATGTAAAGTATGGTCAAATTTTCAAAGGATAATTTCATGTGCTGAAGTTTAAGGAACTAACTGGCCAATTTATCTTTAGATATTTAGCAGATCTTCGTAATTATCTTGAAAGTTTCTTTAGGAGAGTGAAACCTCTTTCAAATCTTGAAGATATCAGGCGGGAAACGGAGAACGAATTTAATACACTTTGGGTGCAAGGAAAAGTTTCAGGTTGGGAAAAAAAAATTGGCAGAGAAGACTTGTCCAATGATTTTTTTTGTGTTGCATGCAAGTATTATTATTATTATTATTACTTCAAATTCGCATTATTTCTATTTCATGATCACTTGTATTATAATTATTGATAGTTTTTATTAATTAATACAGGCAAAAAAAGCTATTCTAAGGAAACTGTCTATGATGCTCATCTCAAAAGTAAAAAACATTTAAAAGCTGCCAATGAGATGATAAAAAAAGGTGTGACAGCCGTAGATAAAGAGGCCGAAGAAAAAATGAAAAAGCAAGCAGCGGAAGAAAAAGATAAACGAGATCGAGAAATCGCGTTTTTGGAAGCATTAATTCAAAAATACGCACAAGTTCTAGGTTCACAGAGAGAGGACACTAAAGCTAATGTTGAAAGGAAACGTGCATTGACTGATCGAGAGCGACGAGTGAGTATGACTATGTTCTTTTTATAATTCAAGCATATTTGTGGAAAAATAAACAAATATCCTAAAATATTTGATTTTTTGTTCACTTGTCTTGATTCGGGCCTGATTTGGATTGACAGATACAAAGGCCACCTTCAATTTCTTTTAAATTTACGTTTGATGATTTTTTTCTAATGAATTGACTGTGACTATTAATTTTAATTGTATATTCAGATGGAATTAGAAACCGAGGAAGTAGATGATGTAGAGACCGAATCGGAAGACGAGGATAAAATTTATAATCCTCTCAAATTACCACTTGGATGGGATGGTAAACCCATTCCATATTGGCTATATAAGTTACACGGGCTCGGAGTTGAATATCCTTGTGAAATTTGCGGGAATTACGTTTATATGGGGCGAAAGGCATTTGATCGGCATTTCCAGGTACTGATATTAATCTCTGTAAGCGAGATTTTCCTTAGCAAATATTCACATATTTTCTATGAAATCTCCTATAGGAATGGCGACATGCTCATGGAATGCGATGTCTAGGTATACCGAATACTCGGCATTTTCATGAGATAACTCTAATTGAAGATGCTTATGCTTGTAAGTATATTTATATTATGTTATTATTCAATATTCCTAAAAGCAATCTAAAGATATTTTTCTTTTTTTTGATAAAAGTATGGGAGAAGCTTAAAAGTACAAGCAAAACCGATGATTTTAAAGCAGATACAATGGAAGAGTTTGAAGATGTCGAAGGAAATGTATTCAATAAAAAGACGTATGATGATTTGAAGAGACAGGGTTTAATATAAAAAATAGAATCTAGATATTAGAACATAAAAGTATTTGATCAGCCCATTCGATCTTCATATGATCAGCAAAAAATTTTGACTAATTGAAATACATGTGCATGTATACAAAAAAACTTAACTATTATAAATTCATGAATATTGCATCAAATTTACTGATTAATATATCATTTAAAAGCAAAAAAAAGTTATAGAATAAAATTTATTAGACTTAAAAATTGATTTATTTATCTTTGCTTTCAATAACTAACTTATAATAATATTTTATTGAATTTATTAAATTATTTAAAATGATTTTTGAAATAGGATCTCATTTTTTTATCAAAAACTTCTTTAAAATATTCAAATTTTTAGGTATTTATTTCTTAATATTACTCTTAACAATAATATATAAATTTTTTATAGGATTAAATTCAGTTTGGATAGTTTAGATATAGAACAAATATCTTTATTCTAATAATATAATAAGCTATATATCTTTTATTTGTGAGTAATTAATAATATTTTAATAGTAAATTTTGCAAGAATTTATTTAATAAATATAGTAAATAAATCTGTATAAATTAAGCTAAAATTAAAAATATTTATTTATTATCTAATATAATTAGAAAATAGTTAAGTTTTTTTGTCACATACTGTAAATAATCACCAATTAAGGCATTTGTACTCAATAAATAATGCATTTATACAGAATATATATATAATGCTAACATCTACATCTTTATTATTATACATATTTTATCATTATAATTTCTTGAAGTTCTATATAGGAATATTTTAATCAAATTGGTCATATAACTGGATTTTGATAACAGTATGCAGAATATAAATACTGTAAAAATCTCAAAGTTCAATGCAATAATTCAGTAATTCAATGTAAGTCACATTTGCATGTATATCCAAATGCTTCAATTGAAGTTAAATAATCCTTTTTTGATATGAGCTTTGAAAATCCAGAAATTACTAATACAAGTTTATTCAATACCAATTTGTCTACAGAAAACACATAATTAAATATCAATACAATATCAAATACTTATTTTACTAATATAATTAATATTATTACTAGTTCAAATATCAATACAATTACTAGTTCTACAAATACAATTAATCTTATTAATAATTAACAATTACAAAATGTATAAAATATATGAAATGGCAATATCAATAATTTTATTGATAGAATTTCATATTCTAAGCAAGTGAAAAATATATCCAAATACTTAATTGAAGTTAAATAATCATTTTTTGGTATGAGCTTTGAAAATTCAGAAATTGCTAATAAAGTTCACTTAATGATAATTTATCTATAGGAAATATATAATTAAATATCAATACAATATCAAATACTTATTTTATTAATATAATTAATATTATTACTAGTTCAAATATCAATATAATTACTAGTCCTACAAATGTAATTAATCTTATTAATAATCAACAATTACAAAATGTATAAAATATATGAAATGGTAATATTAATAATTTTGTTGATAGAATTTCACATTCTGAGTAAGTAAAAAATGAAAAAGTATTTGCAAAAGCTATTTTCAGATATGAATTATAATTATTATTTTTAAAAATGAAACTATTAAAGAGTTGGATCAAACAAAACAAATCCAGTATTAAAGCTTTCATTATATAAAATAAATAATATTAAATAATTTACTTAATAAATACTGAATATATTTATTTTATTTGTGATGAATAATAAATTATATTTATTATTTATATTTATTATAAAATTTTATTTTTATCTAATTAATATTATAATTATAAATTAAATATTGTTTAGGAATATTAGTTTAATTTTATTTTAATTATACTAATATCAGTATTTGTAATAGTAAGCAAAAGTATCTGACTTCCTATAACTTTTTAAATTGAAGATTAATTATCTTAAAATTTTTAGCATAGATAATTTAATACAAATCTAAATTCTATAAGTTTTTTTTAATACTTTATAATATTCTAACAAAATTCAAATGAGAGCTGAATTTTAAAAATAATTTTTTATATTAATAAAAAAAATCTTAATCAAATGTAATGAAGAATAATTATATTAATAAATTTTAAATTAAAATTTCTTAATTAAATTTTAATATTTTTATATTAATATTATTGTAGTTATCAATTTCTTTATTTTCATAATTTTTTAAACTTGGAATTTTCAATCAATTAATTAATCTTTAGAAAATATATGATTTCAAATAATATAATTAGTATATCAGTTATGAATTCAATCATGATTCAATAATATTTTTGCAATATTTCTGTAATAATTAAAGATTATGAATGAATAATTAATCATAAAATCAATATTAGTTTACAAATAATTTAATAATAGTTCAGTAATACTTTAGAAATAGTTCAACAACAAATTTAATTTATTTTTATTAATTTATATTCAAGCTATATTTTAAATATGAAGGAACTTATCAACTAATTGCAAATAAATATTAGTAAAATAGTATGAAAACTAATATAAAGAATTATATAAAGACTTGTGAAATCTGCTAGTGAACTGATGGAAGAATTACGAAATAATCTTTATATTCTATCAAAATTTAGATAATCTTTTAACAGAATAATAATTGATCTTATTAAATTTAGTAAAATAACAATAACTAAAAATCAATATATTATTATAGTAATTGATTATTTTATAAAATAATCTGAATCTAAAGTAATTCTAGACAAGAAAATTACTATAATCACAAAATTTATCATTAAAGAAATAAGTTATTGATATGAATATCTTAAAGAAATTTAATTAGATAATAAATTAGAATTTGTCAATGAAATAGTTAAAAAATTATTAACAAAATTTGAAATTAAATATAAATTTTCTTTATCTTATTATCTACAGACTAATAGAATAATAAAATACTTTAATAGAATATTATATATGATTTTATAAAAATTAATAATAGCACATAAATAAGAATGGGATATTTTTATTTCTGTTACTCTTTTTACTTATTAAACTAATTAAAATTCAATAATAAAATATAAATTATTTTTCTTAACTTATAAATAAAATAATATTTTTATCCACTTGAAAGAAGATTTTATAGAAGAAGAAAAATTAATATAACAAATATATTATATAGTAGATCAGTTACCTTAATAAATTTTAAAAGCAAAACAGAATATAGAAGAATAATAATTACAATATTCTCAAATATATAATAATAAAATTCAAAATGAAATAATTTTTTGAAATTGAAAATAAAGTATTAATATTTGAAATAAAGTAATATTCAATAATTTTCAACTTACTTGAAGTAAAGAATGATATTATATTTATGATTATACTAAATACTATATAAATCTTACAAAATTCATAATCAGAAAGAAAATATTCACAAGTATTCTATTAATAAAAAATAATATTATTATGATTATCAAGATTACTTTGAATTATAAATTATTATTAAGTAACTTATATGAATTATCTCTTAATTTTTATCATTCCTATATTTAAAATTTCTTTTTATCTTATTTTTATTTATTTTTATAATTATCTTTTCTCCAATATTTTTTAATCTTTTATTATTAATAATAGATTTTTAACTCAGAATTTATATAAATATCTTCTCTATTTTTCTTATCTTTTTCTTTATTCTTTTATATTTTTACTTTTATCTATTATTCTTTATCTTTATTATCTTATATCTTTTCAAATTCTTTTATACTTTTATCTTTATTATTTCTATCTTTTCAAATTCTTTTATACTTTTATCTTTATTATTTCTATTATATCTCAATTATCTACTTGGATTGCTTCTCAAATAATTAAATCTCTTGAAGAAATTTATTAAGAAATACTTACTTAATAACTCTTTGAAATAATTATCTTTTCAACCTTTAGATTACTTATTTACAATAATACAAGACAGAAAACCAATATTTTACTTTTGAATCTACTTATATAATCTGAATTCATTAAAGATATTAAAGTCAATAATACTTTTCTCTTTGATTCTCAGATAATAATTAAATCACTTGAAGTATTTATTAAATCAGTTAATATAATTACTGACTTAAACTTTGATTAGTTAAATATTTTTATTGTTACTTTATCAAAAGATAAATTTGAAATTAATATTAATATTATAAACTATACTCTAAAAGATAGATTTTACTATAAATATAGTTTATAATAAGTTTTGAGAGTGAAGACTAAATTATTTATAAAAATTAAGGGGATAATAATTATTCTAAAGATTTCTAAGTATCAATACTTATAAATATTGTATCAATACAAGACAAAAATAAAATAAAACAAAAATATAAAAAAAGAAATTGTG